CGCGCCCGCGCCTCGCCCCGCCCCTAGCAGCGGCGCGTGCGCGCACGCGTCCTAAGTCCAAAGCCGGAAAAGTTGTGTGTGTGAGCTGAGCCGGCGAGCATCGCCGCAGGGCCGGCGGGGGCAGCCCCCCTCACTCTGGGATTAGCCCCGGCGCCTCCCCGCGGCTTGCGCGGGCGGAGCTGCAGCGCCTGGATCGGATCCGGGAGCGGGGCAAAGGGCGGGAAATGGGATCCCTGCGGACTGGATGGCCCAGAGGGAGAAGTCTGGAATGCTCTCCTGGCAAACACGCTCCAGACACATCCTGCAACTGGAAGAGAGCCCGAACCCCGAAATCAAGCTGCCGTAGGGGGAAGGTCCTGGTTCTAGAACTTCACCTTCTTCGCATCCCGTTCCCCTTAGCAAATAGGGCCTGCGCCTGGAGGACCATCAGAGGGCCTCAGAACCCCTCTCTCTCCAGACCTAGAAGCCCTGGGGAACCGGACTTGGCCAGGGAGCTTCCTTCTCCCCACCTTCACCCCTGCCCCTCTTGTCCTTCGCCCAGCGGTGGCCTGAGACTCTGGTCCGCGCGAGGCGGAGCAGCTACAGGCCTCGCCCCCAGCCGAGAGCCCTGCCTGGCCTCCTTGGCAGCAGGCGCCAGCTCCGTGCCCTCTTCAGGATTCGGGGGGAAAGCCGGAAAGGAAAGCGGAGAGAGAGTTGAGATGCCCAGCCCAAACTGTAAAAACAGCAAGCAATGTTATTCCATCCCCCTCTCCTCATGCCCCCGGCTTATAAGGGGCTCCATGCCCCACCCTCTCCAGTAAGAACCAGATATGGAGTTGATGGGGGGGGGGCGCTCTACCTCTGCCACGGCCTGATCGTGGGGGACAGGTCCCCTCGTCCTCTCCCTCACCTTACTCAACCTGGGGCTGCTTCTGAGGAAACCCTTTCTGTTGAGGACCTGCTGTACGTGAGGCCACGCCTCTGGGGACCCTCCCTCCTCCTCGGCCGGGACAGGAGGTATCTGCAGGACAGCGCCCAGTCTCTGCACGGGAAGGAGCAGCTTCCAGCCGCAAACCCGCGGCGAGAGCTCGACGACTGCCCTTGCGCTAGCCGACCCGGTGCTGCCCCCAGCCCCGCCGGGTCATTGCTCAGTTGCAGGTCCCGGCGGGCAGAGACAAACTCCGAGGTCAAAGAACGCGCCGAAGCCGGACGAGGGCGGGCGGCGGGCCTGGCTGCCGCTGCGACTGGGGGGGCCGGGAGAAGCGCCCAGGGCTGCGCGTCATTCACTTCTCAATAGCGGTCCCCGAGCGCGCAGGGAACCCCGGCCTCCCTTGTCAGCCCCAGATTTGATAGGGCGGAGCCCGGGGACTCTGATGCGCTCCCCGCGTCCCTAAGCTCGTCTTCGGATCTCCCTCCATTCTGCTAAACCCCTTTCGATCCCCTACTCTCTATCTTGGCTCGCCGGCACGCTCCCTCTCGGCGGCCCCTTTCACCCTCTGCTCCTGCTCTCGCAATCACCGTACAAAGGGCTGGGGGCGGGAGTGGGGGCGGGCGAGGGGAGCTCGACCCGAACTGGCTGCCTCTGCGGGCCCGCGACCAATCCCGAGCGCGCGCGCCCGCCCG